TTTTTTTTTTTTTTTTTTTTTTTTTTTTTTTTTTTTTTTGCATATTTGCTGTCTATGGTCATACGGTGCATCGATAATCCAGCCACTTCTGCAGAAATGTACATGAACTCACCGTGTCATGAATGATGCATTTAGATAGGTTTGTTGTAAATGTCAGCTTTCTGTGAAGTCGGAGACAAGAACAGAACAAAAAAACAATAAAGTGGTTTGTTCAGCTTGTTGTTTATATCTTGACTACATGAAAAATCTGGATATGTCAGCCATATGGTTATAAAGTGTAATTTTTTTTTCTACCAAATCAGGAAAAAGTTGGATGGAAAGAGAAAATGCAACTAAAAAACAAGCTGAAATCAGATTCGGTTGATGAATATTTTCATATTTTGTCTCAAAGCCACACGCTTCTATGTATTTTACTTGGGTGTGATACGACGGATCAGCACAAATTAGCGCACAGTTGCAAATTGGAAGGATAAATATCTACAAAGTGTGGCGTACCTTTGTATCCAGCCTCCTTCACTCTGATACCCTGAAACGAAATTCTAGTCAAACCCGTAAAGAGTCCTGGGGGTGGAGCTGAAACCTTTAGCGTTGGCTGGCGAAAGGTGAGAAACGTTTCCAACATTTGTGTGGCGCTTGTGTGAAAGCTATTTTGTATTTCCTATATTTAACCTTATCAGGAACAGAAAGCTGGCCTTTTTTATTTTTTCATCGTCACATTCAAAAAGGTTTTTTCCAGTTAACCCATCGGTGTGTCACATGTTCAGTAACCTTTAAACCGAGATTCTTAATGCAGAACCTCAAGAATAGCGACTGTCACTTTGACACGCTTTCCTTCGCCCTGCAGAGCAGACAGAGGAGCGTGTGTTTACGAGACAGTGACAAACTGGTGGCTGTACAATATTTTGTCTGTATTTGCATTTCTTAATGTTTTAGTCTGCTGGGATGAAACCAGTGTTCCCAGTGGTTAATCCAGGGTTGTCCAAAGTGGGTCCTGGAGGGCTGGCATCTCTCCCTGGTTTAATGCACCTGGATCCAATGATGGCTCGTTAGAAACCTAAGAAGAACATTGACTTGCTGAGAAGGTTGTTACTACCATCAGGGAGAGAACTAAAACATGTAGGATGCCGGCCCTCCAGGACCCACTTTGGACACCCCTGGGTTAATCCCTGTGACTGTGGCAGCTCAGGTCGTGTGTTTAAGGTTTCAAGATGGCCATCTGTGCCAGATGTTAATGCCACCTCTGCTGAGTGTGTAGCGAGTGTCTGAGGTGGATGTGTGTTGTGTGTGTCTGTGTGTGTGTGTGTGTGTGTGTGTGTGTGAGCAGATGGTTTGTGTTCATTACACACACACACACACACACATGCACACACATGTTTGTGTTGCTATCTTTGTGGGGACTTTCCATTGACTTCCATTCATTTCTACAGCCTAAACCTAACCTTTACCCTTTTCCTAACCCTAACCATCACATACCTAACCCTAACCCTAAACAAAACTCAATTCATACCTTAGTCCTAACTCTGACCCCTGACCCAAAAACAGGGTTTCCCCTTGTGGGGACCAGGCTCCGGTCCCCACAAGGAGCAATTGGTCCCCACAATGTAGTATATGCCAGGAAAATCATCCCCACAAGGTATTACAAACAAATGCACACACACACACACACACACACACACGGTCTCTCCCATTATCTCAGTTCCCTCCGTCATCAATTATTCACACTAGGACACTGACACCCAGGAAATGTGAA